ACAGTGTCTAAATGTACCCCTCTCTCCACAGCCATGCCAGCATCTGCATCTTTGGGACCTTGTGATATGGGCTATTCTTACTGGGGTCAGAGGATATCACAAAGTAGTTTGGATTTGCATTTCTCTGATGATTAGAGATGATGAGCATTTTTTCATGTGTTTGTTCATCGTCAGTAGAGTGCCTTGGCATCATAGCACAGACCAACCTCAAACTCTTGGACTCAAGTGATTCTCTTTTTTCAGCCTCCAAGTAACTGGGACTACCGGCACCCACCACAACACCTGGCTATTTTATTTTTATTATTATTTTCTTTTTATAGATGGGATCTCACTCTTGCTTAAGCTGGTCTTGATCTTCTGAGCTCAAGCAATCAACCCACCTCAGCCTCCCAGAATGCTCTTTTCTTGATTTATTTGATTCATCAGCATTTTAATACTTTGTGTTTTTTCCTTGTTAGGTCTTAGGAGCTGTATTAATTTTTTTGATCTTAAAAAAAGATTTATTGATTTTTCTCTCCTGTTTCTGTTTCCTATTTTATTAATTCTGCTCTTGCCTTCATTAATTACCTATCCTTGTTTACCCTGGATTTAATTTAATCTTCTTTTTCTAAATTCATCAACTTAGATAACTAGTTTGAAGTCATAACTGCAACATATGTGAAACAGCACAATAGATACCCACCAGTGTAAAAACACACAAAGTTAAATAAAGCTCACAGTTCTTTATTCTTTTATAATTTAAGCATGTAAAGGTAAAATTTCCTCTATTTTCTCCTTAACCACATTCCACAACTTTTGCTATATGTTATTGTCAATAAGTTTAAAACATTTTCTAACTTTCCCTGTAATTTCTTGTTTCATCTATGGGTTCTTTAGATGTGTCTCGTTTAGATCCCACCTATTGAGGGCATTTCTACCACCCTAAATGGTTATTATTGATTTCCAATTTAATTCTGTTTTCATATGAGTCTACTCTATAAAATTTTATTCCTTTGAAATGTACTGAAATATAATTTATCACCCAGAACAGAAAAAAGTCCTCCCACCTTCCTTGTGAATTTCCAACTCTCCGTGTGATTTTATCAACAGTCCTCAATTCTCTTACCACAAGGGTGAGAAAGGAGCTCACATACTTCCCATTAAGGATGAACTGCACAACCTTCACTTACCCTTCCACAGAGGAAGGCTATTCTTCCTCTCACCATAAAAAAATATGGGAGTGACTACTTCTCTCTTGTCTCCTCTCCTCTTGTCACTACTTCTCTCTTGTCTCCTCTGCTCTTTTCTGTTTGGGAAGAAGGTTCACTAATACAACTGAATAGACAGTGCTGGAAACAATAGATGCAATGTATGGGGTTATTGTGTTTTAAAAGTATAAAACATGCTTCAACTTGTCTGCTTATAGGGAATTGCACAAGGACTAAATCCAATTCTTCAAGAAATTTCTGGAATTTATAAATTATATTGATTAGATTTATTTAAAAAATTAAAATTAAAAAACTAGAATGCAGAAGCCCGCCCACCCGTTCCAGGTATATAAGCATGAAAGGTAAGGATCATTTCTTGGGAAAGAAGAATTGGAGAAGTTAAAGCTTGATGTGGAGATGGGAACATGTTCTCAGTAAGAGAACTAGGAAATATTCCAAGCTCAAAATCAATAGAAATGATAACTAAATTGAAAGCAATGAATTAGTGAATTGACAAGATAATTACTCTTGTATTGCCAAAGCACATGGATTGGTTTAGTAAGCTGTGCATGCAAGGTGATAAGGATTTTAGCTCTTTATAAAGTGAAGGATATGCCTTTGTCTCTCCAAACCCTATAAATGCAGTAGGACCAGATAGAAACAGAGGCCATTTCCAGGTAACTTTGGTTCTTCAAATTAGAAATAGAGGAAAAGCATAGAAAAGCAGTTCCAAAGATCCGTAAAATATAGAGAATCATCTCTAGTTCCAGGTATAAAAGCTACTCTATTTCGGGAAATGATGAGGGAATGTAGCTCACCCTTCATTTTCCTCTTGACAGCCTGAAGAGAATTCTTTCTGTTAGAAAATCCCTGCACAATGACCTACAGAGTCCTATAATCAGGGCACAAAGGCAATTACTTACAGCCTCCGAAAAAACTCATCCTTACCACCCAATCATTTAAGAATCTACAAATATTTGGGAAGGACTCTTATCACATAAAAGAAAGACCAGGTTAAACAGGAAGAAAACTCTCAGAGAAAAGGTTGTGTGCAGAAAAGAAATGCTTATAAAATATGCAAAAATATTTTATAAATGTCCTTTTTAATGTATCTTGGAGGTTGCAGAGAAGAAACAGAATATAAGTTGCTGTGAAAGCTAAGAAAAGGCTAATGCAAATGGCTAGTACTAACATTTAGATGAATAAATGTGCAGTGTAAATTATTGGAATATTTTCATAATATTGATAAATGTTAGCATAGGAGATCAAAGTAAACAGAGAAGGCACAGATAAATAATGATAGGACTAAAATAGGAGTAGACTACAGATGCAATAAAAACTAAAATACAATAACAAAATAAAATAAACAATTTTCTGATAATATATTCAAACAAAAGTTAAAAAAAAAGACCTTATTACACAAACAAAAACTGCAAACTTTTATAAAAGAAAATTCTAAAAGTTATACTTCAGGCAGAAGCATACATAACCCACTTTGAAGATCTACAACAGAAAACATACTTTTTAGGCTATGGTTTGTCTATAAACAACAAAAGTTGCCAAAGATATAGTGCCTTAATCCAGATACAACCCTAATTCTGGCTCAGGTTCAAGATAGGCTTGGTGACCCAGTGGCAAGAACACAGTTTCTTCCACAGTATTGCTCTGAAATCTTTAAATTACCACCTCTACATCTTGTGCTCAGGAAAGCTGCTTCAGATGCCACGATCATATTCACATTGCAAGCATCAACAGGTGATGTACTATCCCTACCAAATGGAAGTTCCAGTAGATGTGATGTGACATAACCTAGACTTCCCCCAGACAATATGCCAGATTTTAAGTCCTAGACCTAGAACCAAGCTGAAGAGAATGTGTAATTCTTACTGCAACAACTCACACCACCCCTCCCTATTGTACCAGCCAATTTAAAGACATAATAGTCTATTGCACAGAAAACTATTTATTATGGGCAAAATTCATAAAGAAAGGAAAAAATAGAAAGACCAACCATTCACTGCATTCCTTCAACCAATATTAATCCCCACATAGGATAGTCTCATCACCTGAGCGTCTCACCTCATGGTAGTAATGACTTCACTTCTTCCAGGACTGAACAAAATGGATTGCTTTCTGGGAACACAAAAGAGGTAAGCCAGATCTTAGGTTAAATTCAACAAACAGGATGCAATACATCAATTGTGACAGTCTTCTTATAAGTTTTTAACCAGTATTAGGAGAAATGCAAGATCTAATTGATGTCACTGCATATGCACTTTTTCAAAAAAAAGAAACTCATTTGTAAGTGGCATAACTACTTCTACATTTACTAACACTACATTTACCAACACCAGAAAATCACACATTCTATGGTTTTTAGGTGCTAATAAGTATATATTTACTTTTGTTTTGTTAATTTGGACTTATTTCCTCTTACCCTAAGCAAAAATATAAATAAATTTTAAAATATAAGCAGTCCAGGTGCAGTGACTCACATCTGTAATCCTAGCATTCTAAGAGGCTAAGGTGGCTGCACTGCCTGAACTCAGGATTTCAAGACAGTCTGAACTAGACTTTGTAGCAGGTGCTTGTAGTCCCAACTACTAGGAAGGCTGAGGCAAGATCACTTGAGCCAAGGGTTTGAAGTTGCTGTGAGCTATGATGCCACAGCACTCTACTGAGGGCAACAAAGTAAAACTGTCTAAATAAAAAATACATAAATAAACAAACAAATAAAAATACAAGCAGACTTTTCTTAAAATAAGTGCTATAGACATACATATTTCTTCCCTGAAAAAAACAGATTATAGCTTATTCTTCCTAGAACCTTCAATACCTATGTTTGTTTTAAATAAATAGGTTAATCTCCATAGTACAATAGAGGTGTTTTTTCATACTATAACCTTCTTAGTTTCTTTGAAGAGACTTACTGGTACATAGGAACTCAGTGACCTATAGCTCACAAAATTAACTTAGAAGTTTTGAAGATACTCCAACCTAAAACCATGCAAAAGTTGGGACTTTCCTTTCCCATTCCAGATGATGTTGGATGGCCCGTCACTGGGTGAAGGAGGAATGATGGTGTATCTAGAGCTGTCACCTATTTCTCCTATCTCCAAGTTCCTCTGACACAAGGAATGGGGAAGTGTTTGAATCAGGAGCAAAAGAAAGAATGAATAAAATATTCACTAATGCAACTGTCCAGGCACATCCCAGGGAGATATGGGGACAAGTACCTGTGGATGTTCTCTACCCTGGGACTATTAACACTAGAAGAAACATTGGAAAATGTTCTTCTTAGCAAAGTATCTCAAGAATGGAAGAAAAAGTATCCAATGTACACAGCCCTATTTTGAAAGTAATTCATATCTTTCATAGGAATGTCATAACCTAATTATGGCCTTAGATTATGGGAAGGATGGTGGGAGAGAAGAGGTGAGGGGGGCTGGTAGGGGGAGGGAGGGTGATGGGTAGGGTCACCTCTATGGTTTATCTTACAAGGGTACAAAGTGAATCTTTCTAAAAGCAGAGTATGAATGTCTTAACTCAATAACTAAGAAAATGACATGAAGGTTATGTTAATCTGTTTGATGAGACTATTTCAGAATGTATATGAAAACAGCACACTGTACTCCATGATTGCATTAATGTACATAGTTATGCTATAAGAAATAATAAAGGAAATTTGAATAGGAAATTAAAAAAACACTAGAAGAAACTGTGAAATGGTCTCCGTCCATGTAATCTAGACCAGCCATGGGATACCAGCTGTGTGGCTGGCAAGAGCCTCTGAGGTAAATAATAAGGGTGTTTTCACATCGTTCCTTTTCTGCAGAACACCCTGATTACTCGCTGGCGGATCTGTTGAGTCTTCACCCCATAGACAAGAGGATTGAGTGCAGGAGGTACAAGGAGATAGAGTGTGGCCAGAAGAACATGGATGTGATGGGGTACATGGTGGCCAAAGCGGTGAGTCAGGAAGGAAAATATTCCAGGGACATAAAAAATCAGGATGACACAAACGTGGGATCCACATGTGCTAAAGGCCTTAATTCGGGCCTCACCACCTGGTATCATCAGCACTGCCTGTAGGATGTAGGCATAGGAAATGCCAATGGCCAGGATGTCTAGTCCAACCACAAGCAGTGCCACAGCCAGCCCATAAGCTCGGTTCACTGTGGTTTCTGAGCAGGCCAGTTTCACAACAGCCATATGTTCACAATAGGCATGCCCTATGACATTGGCTTCACAAAAGATAAGTCTCTGCAACAGGATAGGGAAGGGGATGAGGAGGAATAATCCCCGCAGAAGCACTCCCACTCCTATGCGCCCGACAATGCCTGGATGCAGGATAGTGGAATGGTGCAGAGGATGACAAATGGCAACATAGCGATCCAGGGCCATCGCAACAAGTACCCCTGACTCCATGGAGGAGAACGCATGTATGAAGAACATCTGGACGAGGCAGACAGTGAACCCAATCTCATGGGCATGAACCAGGAGCACTGCAAAGGCTTTGGGTGCAGTGGAGGAAGCCAGAACCAGGTCGATGGCAGCTAACATGGCCAGGAAGAGGTACATAGGTTGATGCAAGGATGGCTCAGTCCAGATAATGAAGAGTATGGTGATGTTGCCCACTAGAGCAAGGAGGTAAAGGACACCCAGGGGTAATGCTATCCAGTGCTGGCTTTCCTCTAAACCTGGAATTCCTACCAGGAAGAAAGAAGGGTGGGGCAGCCTCCAGCTGGAATTACTAAGGGCCACAATCATGGCTTAGAGAGGAAAGAGGGAAAGAGAAACAAAGTCATGATTTCTCCATTCAAAATAATGTTATCACATTATCCAGAGTGGGCTGCCATCTTCATCAGAAGAATAAATGAACTTAACCTGCAAACAAAGGAAGAAAGTTAGATAAAAGGGGGAAAAAATCTCTTTTTCTGGCAGACAATCTTTCTTAAGTGATGTACTTTAGTCAAAATCGAATCCAATTTATGTGAGAATTAGTCACTATTTTCGTTTTTTTTTGTCCTTGTCCTTACCCTCACTCCCTCCGGCAAACGATTTTTTTTGCAAGACATTCCCATGTCTGCATTAGGACAGGTCAGTGTTACTTAGAGATAAAAGTAAACATATGCTGCTTTGGGAGAAATGCTTAAACTCTAATGTGCAATTGCTTACACTGGAACTGTCAATTTCAAAAGATTCTCTTTATTAATCTCTTGCCATTTCTGAATACTATAAATCAACCCATTAATTTTGATATTAGTCTCCCTCAGTTTCCATAACACAGCACTCTACAGTTGTTCCTCCTGGAGTCCCCATCCCAGCATCTTCCCAAATCATTATGTTAATGATTCCAGGGTTCCAGCCTCTCCTCACTTCCCAATCTCTGAATTGAGTTCCTCCATTCTCAGTTTTAAATATTTAAATACAGTAATTTCTTCCAAATCTATATTTCTAAGTTAAATAACTTTCTGATATTTGATATCCATTCTTCCATTTGTATCCTGAATATCTATCTATACCATGCACTCAATGTATTCAACACTAAATAATTCACTTATCTTTCCCAGTTTTATACTATCTTTTTGGCAATATTTTTATGAATTACATCATTGTCTACCAACCCAACCTGATCTAGAAACTTGGAAACCATCTTTTCTCATTAACTCTCATCCCTTTTACCTATTCACCAATTCTCAATGACTTTATGTTCTGTTTGTTTTTCTTTTATTTTATTTTAATTTGAACTCACATGTTATAAAAATAAGCTCTTACCTAGGAGGCACAATGTAAGGATATACAACATACCCCCGGGGTGAAGTGCTCAACTATAACTTGAACTTTACCTAACAATTGCAAACCATGTAACCTAATAATTTGTGCCCTCATATTAATGGAATTAAAAAAATAAATAAATACATAGATAAATATGACTTTATTTTCAACCTTTCTTATATCCACTCTTTTTTCTCAACCCCCAATGTCACTGCCTGAGTTCATACTCCAGCTGCTCTCAACTGAACTGCTCATCACATCTCTCTGTCTTTGGTATAGAGCCCTTCCCAATCCTCTCTCAAATCTAAAGTTAAAGGGTTCTCAATAATGGGGAAAAAGTATTTAATGTACTCAATTCTAATATGAAACCACTATCTAAACAACTACATGCCCACATGAAAGAAAAAACACAAACACAGTCTAGGAAGGAAGAGGGGAGAGGATGGAGAGGGAAGGGAGGACAAGAGAAGGCAATTGGTGAGATCTCACCTAATGTGCACAGCATGAGGGTATTTAGCTCACACCCCGGGGTGTTCAACTACAACTTGAACTTCACCTTAGAATTGAAAACAATGTAACCTAACCATTTGTGCCCTTTTATTCATCTGAAATTTAAAAAAAATTAAATAGGGGCAGCACCTGTGGCTCAGTGAATAGGGTGCTGGCCCCATATACTGAGGGTGGCAGGTTCAAACCTGGCTCCAGCCAGCTTAAACAGCAATGAGAACTGCAACAAAAATTAGCCAGGCATTGTGGCAGGAGCCTATAGTCCCAGCTACTTGGGAGGCTGAGGCAGAGAATTGCTTAAGCCCAGAAGTTGGAGGTTGCTGTGAGCTGTGATAACACAGCACTCTACTGAGGGTGACAGAGTAAGACTCTGTCTCAAAAAAAAAAAAAAATTAAATAAAGTCAAGGTATTTTTCCCAAAATGCAGATGTTTCCATGGCACCTCTATGGAATTGAATGCATGGAATAGAATCAAATTTTAAGATGGCATAAAAGTTTGCCAAAATTTATTTTTTGTTTGTGCATTACTTTTGTCCTATAGTTAACATATCTCTATGTGTATGTTTTGCTTTAATCATTCCAACATTCTTGAAGTTATATGAGTATACATTCTATTTTACATATGCCTTTGTGTATTCTTTTTTTCATCTTTTGTCTAAACTGTTCCTTCAAAATCAGTGTTCACTGTCTCTTACCCCTCAAAAGGACTCATCGACTATGTTAGGACAGCACTGATTATGTTAGGAACACTTGATACTTGATTTTATTTTGTTTATCCTTAACTTTCTGGTTTATCTCTATTGTAGAAAAGTCTGTCAGTGTCTTGTTTTAAGGAAAAGCACCATATCCTGTTACATTTTATAATTATGAGCTAGCATGTAATCATGGATGCTACATGTTTCTAAAATGAGATGAAGTGAACATTTCAAAATGTTGTGGTATGAATACAAGTTTTGGAGACAGACAGATGTGGATTTAAATTCTGTTCATTTCATACTCTAGAAATAAAATCTTGGCATGCTACTTAAACTCTGTCTTGATTTCCTCATCTGATGGTAGAACAAATAACATCAATCTACTGGTTAATTATAAATATTAAGTAATGTACATAAACTCTCAATATGTATGTTAATCTGTAAGTTATAATCATTGTTTTTAACATTAATTAAAGATGACTAAGATGAGATAATAGGCTACTTTCCTTTTTCCTTTGTCTCCATGATTCTGCTTTTTTGTTTTAAATTTTTGGTATGTCTATCTTTCATCATGACATTATAACAATTTGATGTCTCTGAGACAGTCATGTTTATGTGAAGCACCATATAAACAGTTGTTCTGTTTAACCTCCTCCATGAGATTCACCTCTCAAGCATTAAAACAAAAACCTATAACTGTATAATTCTTTCTATGTCTGGATATTTTCCTTAAAAGACAAATGATATCTGAACTACTTAGTTTTCTCTGTTTGAGGTAGTGATGGACATGTATATGTAAATAAAGAGTCAAGAATAACTCAATTTTTGTAAACTCTAAATCTAATAAATCACTCAGAGTATCTTTTTTATAAACCTATAAAGACAATAATATTGCCCCAAAGCTCTGTATATGATGCATATACAGTCTGAAATGTCTGGTGAACATTATATTTCTTATGCTTTTTTTTCTTCTATAGTCAATTTGAGTGACATTTTTATTGAGGCCTCCAGGACAATCTCCTAATCTTACAAAAATGAACTTTTCAGTCCTTAACAGTCCACATACTGAGAAAGTTCATTTTTTTTATTTTTTTCTGAACCACTGCCCTTCTGCTGTAACCATTTCTCATTGTTTGGCTGAGAAGTCAGGGAACAGCTGTGTGTTTGTGGAAGTCACCCACAGCTATAATAGGAGCAGCATCAAAGAAGCAGTGAGGCTGAAGCCAAAATGCAGAGGGTGAAGCAAATGAGCAGAGATCTGTGTGCTGGAGGACAGCCGGCCTCTTGTTCCTGCTTTGTGGCTTGTGAGTCTACTGCAAAAGCCTGGGGCTGCTTATTAAGTGTCAATTATTAAAGTAAACAAGAGATTCCTCTGTGATTCTTCAAGGAAAAGCAGAAGGGATTTTATTCCCCAAAACTTACAGGTGAAGTTGTCTGTAGCTCTCTGATCAGGAAGCGGAGAACTAGCAAAGAACTGCTGTTTTTCAACTCCTGCTTATTCAGGTAAATCCAGTCTAAACAACCTATCTTCTGTGAAGTTGTGCTCAGTTTTGGAAGGTAGCAGGATACTTCTCCTTTTCCTCTCTGTCATAATCCATTTTTCCACTTTTACATTGCATTGATAACCTCAGGCTCAAAACCCTGTAGTGAGTGAGTCAGGCCTTGTAGAGTAGAGAGTGTGTCTAATGTCTTGAGACAGCAACCAGAACGGAGCTCCAGAAGCACCTGGTATCTAGTTGATACTCAATAATCATAATTGAATAAATAAGCATCCATATGCTCAGATTACATAAGAAATAAGAATATGAGTGTTTTAAAGACTGGGAATTGTGGGACCTTGACAAGGGAGAGACCAAAATTAAGAGAGAGGAATGATTTAATAGACATTATTTGAAGGGTACATTGACTGAACCTGGTGACACTTACCTTAAATAATGCTCTGGATCAGCGGTTTTCAACCTGTGGGGCAAGACATCTTTTTTCCATTTGTAACAACACAGCAATTAGGAAGGTTAAGAACCACTGCTCTGGATGCTTTATGGTAGAAAGAGCCCTGCTGAACTTCTGTGCCATAAGAGCTGATAACAATGTGTGTGAGAAATAATGGGGTTCCTATGGTCACTAGTTATCACTTATGTCACTGGAAGGCCTGTCTCTCTCTCCTTAATCTCCTTAATCTCCTTAACAGTGGCCTGAACTCCATGACAGTGTTGGGAAAGGGCAGGCAATAACTTAGACCAAGAGAGATTAGGGGAAGGCACATAAATAGTTTGTCCATGGTAATGACCTAATAAGAGAGAAAGAAATGAAATAAAGCACTCAAAGGTATGGCTCCAGAGGACAAATCTGAGACACACAAGCAATAAAGCAAGCCTGGCACAAAGACTTTTCTCTGGCTCCCTGCGCTGTCTTTGAGGATGCACCCTTTAAATTCTTGAGTAAATCTTGAGGGAGAATCATAAACACATAGAACACTTAGAGAAGGAGAAAATTCCCAGACTCAGGAAAGTCCCAATCTAGCCATCCCTGCTCAGCTCTAAGAACTTGCTGAGCCCCCATTTCAGTCTCTACAAAGACCTGTCCTGGCTCAGAAACAATAAGAAGAAAGAGGATTTTTTTTTTTTTTTAATTCAGAAGGCTTCATAGCAGTCTCTGAATGCCAAGGAGGAAATCAAACACATCCTTGAAGGTCTGTGCAGATAAAGTTTTCCAAAGATATGAAAAATGAGTACTAGCTCTGGCAAGACTTGGAAAAAGGAGATAAATAAGCTGTCTCCACATGCACGGTATATCATGGTGAGGATGACAACGTAGGGCCATGCTAAAGT